CCATACCTTCGCGGCTTCTGCTCTTATTGTGGCCACTTTCTCTTTGGAAAGTGCCAATTGACTAGACATTACTTCTCGAGCGCGCTCTACATGGACCTTCATCATCTTCAAAGCAGATTGAGTATCCATATCTACTTTAAGTTCCTGCTCAAGGCGCACTATCATGGCTTCTCCTGACGGAAGAGAAGAATCAATGTTGCGAAGGGCTGCTGATTTATCTGCAAAAGCTGTCTCCATTTGGTGAACAAGACTCTCTTTTTCCCGAATTTTGGAATCCGCGGATGCTTGAGCTTTGCGCCATGCTTGCAACCGAGCTTCCATCTGAGTAGCAACGTATGAAAAGACACCAGCAATTTGGAATTTCTTTAGTTTTTCAAGCTCACACTCGAAATGATCTAAGTCTGCAGTAATAGCATCCGCCAGGTTTGAATATCCTTGTCTCCTCAAGGAAATCACTTGATGATCAAGATGTAACTTGAAGAGTTCAATGAAAAGCATATTGTGGAGAAGATTGTCAACCATCTCGTTCACGAACGAGAAAAAGGAACGAACTTTCATGCGGAGCAAAATTTTATCTGGGTCATTATTGGATAGCAGCGCCTTGACAAGATCATAAAGCTACGCTGAAAGTCCTATAAAGAAAAGAAGAGTAAATACTTGGAAATATTGGTTCAAATAATTTCAAGGTAAGGGTTGGAATTGAACTCACCAATGTCGACTGAGGTTTCTTCAATTTGACGCTCCGCACTTGGTCCCTCTTGCCTGACTTAATGAATCATTAGAGCTATTGTGGTCCTGATAGTCGTTGACGTAGTAACTTCTACAACTGGTCTTATGACATGCTTGACAGGACTAGCCCCCGCAGTCACTGTAGTCGCTATAGTCGTCAACTCTGAAGAAATGTTGAGCTGAGCCTAGGAAAATCGATGATTGAGCCTCGATAAGGGTTCCTACCAATAATAGGAAAGTAAGGCCCTTAGGTTCATCATTTACCCTAATGGTAGTAGATGTATCAGTCTCAACGACTGGTCCTATAGTTAATGCCCTTTACGGTTAAGTACAAACCAACAACCAAATAACTATAATGAAGGGGTGGAAGCTCATACCTTCAGCAGAACAAGCCTTAACAGTTTGTCCTGTAGCTTCCTGTTTAGCTTGCTCCGCCAACATGTCAACAAGCAGCGCATGATCAGCCTCGGAGAAGATCATTGTTGTTTCAAATACAGGCTCATCAAACCTTCCGACATGAGTGTCATGATAAGCTTCCTCTCCCACTAAGCTTTCCATTCTGGTATCTGTAGAATATTTGAATATTGAGCATAAGGAATGAAAAGTCAGGATTCATTGTAAGTAGGAGTCAGATTCACCTTCGGTGACTTCAGCAATCCCGCCAACCGTGCTTATTTCTTTTAATTTCTTTAAAAGATCATTCAATGCCCATAATCGCCACTTGAATGGTGTACAACTGGTAATAGATGTACTTGGACTTGAAATCATCAGGGTTGGGTTAGATCCGATAGTAGCTCTCTCACCAATATCAGCATTTGCGCTAGCTTCAACATGAGTAGATTCTCCATTCATTGCCTCATACATTCGATGTACGAAGTCCGAGCTTTTGGTAGGAGCAGGATCGGGAGAAAGAGGGTTGGATGAGAGTCCACCTTCTTCATGACCCCTTAGGAAACGTTGAATGTGGTTAAGTTTGAGGCATTCACAAATGAAGTGATTAATGAACAAGCAAGGACGAAATATCACCTTCTCACCTAATAAGTGCGTCAGCGACTAGTCCTGCCTCGAAAGCACGGGAATTAGCATATGATTTGTGTGTTGTCTTTTTCTGCTTCACGAATTAAGCCTCTTCAAGAGTAGTTGATCTCTCCTGCCCGGGCTTAGTATGCGCCTCAGCTTATAATGAAATTTGAGCAACAGAGCGGGACCTAGTATAGTGCATAGGACGGAGGCATTCTTCTTCTTTCCTCAAAACTACACCTAGAATTTCAACTGACATTTTGTTAGGATGGTTGAATAAAACTTGTAGCCTCGACTTCTTTGGAGTTGGCAAGGGCTTAGGCAGGTTGGATCGGCAAACCCGATCAATAAACGCCAGATTAAGTAGTTCTGAGAAGGAATCTGATAGACCTATATTTGACACCTTCTCGTCATTGCTAATCTCCACGTCTTCATCACTTGCAATGTCCTCCTCTAAAATCTCCTCGTCAAAAGGAAAGAGCTCCCCTTCCTCTATCACTATGTGTTTGCCTTTATCAGATGGAATCATGGATTCTTTACCCCATTATCTTTGTTGTTGAGCAGTTTTCCAAACTATCTGGGTAACAATCTTGGTAGCTTCTTCAGCCGTCAATTCTGCCAACTGCTTCACCTGAACAGACTCATTAGCTGCCAATAGCTATCTATAGCACAGGAATGTCAGCTCCAACTAGCGTTCAGCACTTGGAAGACGGAACCTAGCACCGGTACAACCTGTCACACTCCATAGCCATGCCTGGGCACCATCCACCAATCTGCCACGGGTTCAAAGCCGTTGGTTCGGATTTCTAATATAAAGCTGATCATATCCAAATTGGCAGGCAAATTGATAGGACAAATATGGCTTTATATAGCAGTGATCTCTTACTTGGAAGATCAAATAACCTGGCCTGATGTTGATTAACCAGCTAAAGCAACCAATGTCCAGAAAAGTCTAATTCACCATCATCCTCTCTTTATCAATCAATGTATAACCATACTGACCAGAAAATCATGGAAAACATGTAGAGAAGACCCAACACTTATGTTCCTGCATGTGCCTCTTTATATCAAACAATCACCGTCCTTTCCATCTGCTATTCTCCATCAATTGCAGAAAAGGAATGAATTGATCTACAACACTCGGCGCTGACATCATATCTGAATGGTGGAGAACTAACCAAGTCGTTAGATAAGCATAGGGAAACTCCACCTTAGCAACAGGGATCTGAGTCGTTGGTTTATCACCTCTCTGTGTAAAACCATCTAGGAAAAGCGAACGTCATAGCAGACGCGTTGAGCAGGAAGCGTCGACATCGGATTTCAAGTTTAAGGTGCTCATTGTATTGAGATCTTCACATCCTTAGCCAATTTGATTTTAGACTAGAGATTGACGAGAGCAACGTATTTTTAGGAGCTTTGTTCGTGCAACCATCGTGGACAGATAGAGTGATCAGGGCTCAGCTAGAGGACACTTGGATTCAAATCTGAAAGGGGGAGATTTACAAAGAACCCAAGGCTGATTGGACAGTTAGAATAGATGGAGATCTTCGAATAAAGGACAGATTGGTGATGCTAGGGAATCCATAGAAGAAGGACTTATTCATCGAGGCGCATCGTACTAGGTACACAGTGCATCTAGGCACAAATAAAATATACAATGATCTAAAGATATATTTTTGGTAGAGCGGCATGCGTAGGGAGATTGCCGAGTATGTGACTAAGTGCTTTATCAGTCAGCAAATGAAAGCAGAACACTAGAGACCCGTAGAAACCCTACAACCTTTACTCATTCCGGAGTGAAAGTAGGTAGATATTTTCATGGATTTTATTGTAGGACTACCGAGATTGAAGAAGGGGAACAATTCCATTTGGGTGATAGTTGATCGGTTGACGAAGTTAGCACATTTTATACCGGTGAAGACAACTTATACGACGGAGACTTATACGAAGATATTCATTCAGGAGATCATGAGATTGCTTGGAGTTCTAGATACAATTGTATCAGACCAAGGCGCAGTTTTTACTTCGCATTTCTAAAGAGCTTACATATTTCATTTGGTTGTCATTTGTCATATTCTAGTGTTTTCCATCCACAAACAGATGGACAAACGGAGAGAGTTAACCAAGTGTTGGAGGACATATTGCGGACATGTATTATAGATTTTCAGGACAGCTGGGAGGATCATATTCTATTGATCTAGTTCGCTTATAAATAGGTATCAAGCAACGATAGGTATAGCACTGTATAAGACATTGTATGTGAGGCCTTGTAGATCACCTATTTGTTAGGTAGAACTAGAATACAACTTGCTACTTGGGTCGGAGCTTGTGAGATAGACCACAAAGAAAATAGCATTAATTCTGGAGCGCATTCTTGCAGCAAAGAGTCATCAGAATAGCTATGCAGATTAGAGACGACGACCATTAGAGTTCTAGGTTGAGCACTATGTTTTATTGAAAGTATCGCCAATGAAGGGAGTTCAGCGATTTAATAGAAAGGGAAAGCTTGCCCTAAGATATATTAGTCCGTTCAGAATTTATGAGCGCATTGGAGCCGTATCATATAGGCTAAATCTTTCAGCATCGATGTCGAGTATACATGATGTCTTCTATGTTTCGATATTTAAGAAGTATTTTCGCGACGAGGAGCAGCAGCGAGTGTTTGACGCACCAGAGGTTGAGCTTCATGATGATTTGACCATGATTGAGATTCCAATTTGTATTCTTGCCAAGAAGGACAAGAAGCTTAGAAACAAAGTGATATCTTTAGTCAATATTTAATGGAACAGGAATGGACCTGAGGAGGCTTCTTGGGAGCGCGAGGAGGATATGCGTCATGATTTCCCACACCTGTTTGAGAATGTAAATTGATCTATTTATATTTGTGTTTATGATTATATATGGTCATAATTATATTTAATGCTAGAATGTGGGTGTTAACACTTAGCTTCTAATCATCTGAAACATATGGTATATATATGGGAGATTCCTTATTTGGATTTTTCGCCCGACGTACTAGTTCCGTTTAATTAGGGGTTAAGTGGGAATATTTGCATTCTAGATTGTTAAATGTAAATATTCCTTGTGATCTATATCTGGAGATTAATGGTACGAGATGTGTACGGGAGGGTTTTCTTATCTGGATTTTCCCCTCATCGTGTTTTTCTCATGTTATTAATCTCTAATATACGATTGCGGAATTTCGGGTACGAAATTCTCTTTAAGGAGGGGTGAATGTAAAACCCTAAAAATTTGTGAAATAATTTTTGATAAGCTTTATCGTGATTAGTGATCATTCTGAGATAAATGGATCAGTTTAGAATCAATTTGAGATCGATTCGAAGTTTTAGCCTCGGTATCGTGAGTTTACTAAAAACTGTTACTGTTTTATTTTTATCAATTTTTCTATTGATCAAATGGGGCACGATATTTGCATTATTGACCTTAAATTGTCAATACCATGATGTGGTTAAAGTTACGCTACGTTCTAACAACGAAGACTAAAACACTATTTTGAGAACGTACATGAACTATTCATACGATACTATTCATACGTGCGGGATACTATTTAAAAGTACAGTTACTATTCATACATACGATCCTATTTATTAGTACTATCCATAAATACCGTTACACTTCATGCGTACGTGTACTATTCATACAAATGAGAACTGTTCATACGTATTGTTACTATTCATTCGTACGGACACTATTCATGAGTGCTATTACTATTCACATGTACGGGTACTATTTATAAGTACTGTCACTATTCATTGATATGGTACTATTCATGAATATGATACTTATGTTCTTCTTTTGTTTGAGGTATTTTTTTGTGTGTTTAATTGTGAACGCGGAATTCGAGCCGTATGATGACACACGTATAGACATGAACATACATGAATAGTATCGTAGTACACATATGAATATCCCAAAAGGGAATTTTGACAAATGTTGAGTTGATTACACTTGAGTTAGAGATTTATTTACATGCATGAGTTGGATATCATTGATGATCACAATTCAGTACTATTTTGGATAGTGCGTCGATATACCAGATATACACGATTTGTACATGAGATGGATATCATTGATGAGCTCAGTTCAGTACTACGTGGGATAGTGCGTCGATATTCTATTTGTACAGAGCATTGAGTCAGATTTGGATACTTTATCTAGCATTCCGTCCGCACGAGGGTGCAATGAGGCTTGTGAGCCGTCTTTTAGGATACATATATGGTAGGCCGTCTAGCACTCATGCTACGCACTGAGATCGCGATGAGACTAATGAGTCATGTACACTGTTTAGAATATTGATTGGGTAGTCCGTTACGCATGGTAATGCGATGAATTAGAATCTTGCATGAGATTATATCATGACGATTATATGATAGCCTGAGTTGGGTGGACGCCAACAGTGAGACGACTTATTTGTTGAGCCATATATATGACTAAGATACCTTGCTCTTGCGAGTACATGAGATTTACATATGCTGATGTTCATTATGATGTCATTATTATCCTATATTGCTTTGTTCCATTCTTAGTCTAGGGTTAATATTTAGTTATCTACAATTTGAGACATATGGTATATACATGAGGGTTTTCTTTTTTGGATTATTTCGCTCGAAGTACTACATCTCGTGTTATAGATTTCTAAGTATTAATTCCATTAGACATGAAAAAAATAATCTAGGTAGATAATGTTTAATAGTTAGAGCCTCCACTACATCTAGAAGCCCTTCCCCTGAGGGCGGATGAAGGTGAACTTGTTGTAGCGCTCTGATGCTTTGTTGTTTATCTTTTTATTTTAACTTCCTTTCAGACAGCAGCTCAGAGTTTTGGAGAGCTGCAGGATGACGAATTTCCAGCATAGTCGCTGTTACATATTTTTAGTAGTTGAGACTCCACCGTAGTTTTATGTTTTATTTCAGACATTAGAGTTTTGTATTCTATCTTGTAAAGCCAGTGTGTCTCAGCACTATTTTCGGTTGACTCATATTAAGACATTTCACAGTTATTCCAGATATCAGATGTATTCCAGTTTATTCATTTGAAACATGTTTATATTTATGAGATATTTCGTTCTACATCATGTCTATTGTATTTATTTTTCTTATTTTACATGTTTTGTACCTGTACTTTTACTTGATTCCACTAGAGAGATATTATTGTGATGGTAAAACATGTTGTTGCACAATGTGGGTGCATGACAAGTTTAACATCTCTGGGTTCATCTTGGATTGCAGTCATGTGTAAAATCAGGGGTGTCACAATATCATCAACATACAAAATAAGAAATATAAACTTGCTCCCATTGATCTTTAGATATATACATTGATCAACGATGTTTTCTTTAAATCGAAAAGATGTGGTAGTATCATTAAACTTAAGATACCAATGTCGGTAAGCTTGTTTGAGTCCGTATATTGACCTCTTACGTTTACACACTATGTGTTCCTTTCCTTCAACTGAGAAACCCTTGTCCATGTAAATTTTTTTATCTAAATTTTTATTTTGAAAGGCAGTTTTCACATCTATTTGATTTAACTCTAAATCATAATGAGCCACCATAACCATAATAATTCTAAATGAATCCTTTTTCGAATTAGGGGAAAAGTTTTCTTTATAGTCAACACCCTCCTTCAAAGTAAAACCTTTGGCAACGAGTCTAGTCTTGTATCGTTCGATATTGCCATTTGAGTCGTGTTTGTTCTTAAAGACCCATTTACACCCAACTCTTTTACAACCTTCAGGCAATTTTACAAGATCCCAAACTTTATTATGTTCCATTATTTTCAACTCTTCTTTCATGGCGTCAAACCATTTATCAGAATTATGACTTTTCATGGCCTATGAAAATGAAACTGGATCTTTATCAATTCCAAGGTCAAATTCTAACTCTTGTAGATAGACTACATAATCATTAGAATTAGCAGATTTTTTCTGTCTTTTAGATTTTCTTAAAGCTACTTCTTCATGGTGTATATCTATTGTAGGTTCATTGGTAACAACATCTTCATGGAGTATTTGATCATTTATTTGTTGACCTTGTAAGTCGTTAAACTATTCAAAAATTGTAGGAACAACAACTTGAGAAGAAGTTAAAGGTTAAGGAACATTCATTCTAACTTCTTGGATTTCTGCTTTACATGGTTCCATACTCCCACTAATATCATCGTTTTCAATAATCCTGGCATTTCTAGTTTCAACAATTTCGTACTATGGTTAGGACAATAAAATCTATACCCTTTAAATTTTTCTGGATAACCTATAAAGAAACCATTGGTTGTTCTTAAGTATAGTTTCTTTTCATGTGGATTATAAATTCGTATTTTCGCAGGACAACCCCAAACATGAAGGTGTCTCAAACTGGGTTTCCTTCCCATCCACAGTTTGAAAGTAGACTTTGGAACTGCCTTACTAGGAACCATGTTTAACAAATACATAGCGGTTTTTAAAGAATACATCCACAATGATAAGGGTAAAGAGGAATAACTCAACATACTCCTAACTATATCCATTAGTATACGATTACGCCTTTATGCAACACCATTTTGTTACGGTGTACCTGGCATCATGTACTAAGCGCATATACCACGTTTTTTAAGAAATTTAGCAAATGGACCAGGGCATTGTCCTGTTTTGTTATACTTTCCATAAAATTCACCACCTCTGTCAAATCTAACGATTTTAACCTTTTTGTCTAATTGTCTTTCAACTTCATTAATAAACACCTCTAGGGCATCTACTGATTGAGATTTTTCATGCAACAAATAGACATATCCATAGCATGAAAAATCATCAATAAATGTGATAAAATATTTTTCTTTATTAAGGATGGAACATCAAAAGGTTCGCATATATCAGTGTGTATAATTTTAAGGAGCTGCGTGCTTCTTGTGGTTGTTTTCTTAATTATATGGTTTGTATGTTTTCCTTTGATACAATCCACTCAAATACTAAGATCGGTAAAATCCAAATTATGAAGGATTTCATTCTTTACCAATCTTTGTATTCTTTCCTTGGAAATGTGTCCCAAACATTTATGACACAAGTAATCTGAACTTTCATCCACTAAACTTCGTTTAGTTCCAACATTATGATGCAAGGTTAACAGAGTTTCAGCAAAAGGATTATCAAACTTTAATTTGTATAAACCATCAGAAATAATATCAGAACCAATAAAATGATTATGCTTAAACAACTGAAACATCTATTCCCAAATTTAAAAGAGTATCCAGCGATATCAAGTTTAGACAAAGAAACTAAGTTGCGAGAAATAGAATGAACATAAAGGGTTTGAAAAAGATCTAAATGGTGTCCAGTGTCTAAAATCAAGCGATAGGTTCCAATGACCTCATATGGAGCTTTGATTCGATTTCCCATGAAGATGAAATTTTCATTTGGATTTATGGTTTGGATCGTAAGGAATCCTTGCATCATATTTGAAACATGAGTGGTACAACCAAAATCAATCCACCAAGTATTATAAGAAATTTCTGTTAAATTTTATTCGAAACAAACAAAAGCAAGAGGTTTACCTTTCTTTTCGAACCATGCCTTACGTTTCAAGCAATCTTTCTGATAGTGTCTAGCCTTTTTGCAGAAATGACACTTATCATTCTTTTAATCTTCTTGTGGATTTGGACATGCGATGCATTAACTTTCAGCGGTCCTTTCTTACCTTTCCATTATACTTTCCTGGTTTCTTTCCAGCTCCTTAATGACCCATGAGATTAATTGAGTGAATTCCTTGTTTCTTAAGCTTTGCTTCCTCT